ATTCCAGGCTAAGGAAAGCTTTGTAGGTTAAAACCAGTTCCTCAAATAGGGCTTAGAAACATATAGGCAGCCAATGCAACTGGGTCAGAATAGCTGCTGAATATTCTGCCCTTCTAGTCATTAATCTGGCTGCTACATTTTGCAGAAGCTGCAAAATATTAGTTGCTCTACTTCCATACTTGTTTTAAATCTGATATTTTACCTTCAAGTTTGTTTTCCACTTGAGCACTTTCATTCCAAAAGCTAAAAATGTTTATTTCTTTGCTAAAATGTCTCCAGCAATTTCATCAACTGAGATAAACATGATAAGCTTACATGAGTAAAACTAATGGACCAGAATTCATTTCATTTAGCACCTCTACAAATTAAGGTCAATAGAATAAACTTTGAAAGAGGCTAGTTGGTATTAAAAAAGCAATCTTATGGCCCCTAGACATTGTCTTTGGGGGGGGGGGTCAGAAACAGTGTTCCAACCTTGGGTTTGGGGATCTGTGCTTAAATTTCCTTCCCTGTTTGCAGCTAGCAGAGAAAGAACCCTGCTGGCTGCTTCTCTGAGACTAGAGAAGCAACCTCAGAGAAAGGGTAAAGAGGGTGTTCTGGAGCTGTCAGGAAGGAGAGGACACAGGGGTTGCTAGGAGAGAAGGAATCCTTGGCAGCACTATAGCCTTCTTCCTTCCCTTTCCAACACACCACAGCTAGATTACCACAATTGGCTCATTTGCAGAGGAGGACTGGGAAGGGAAAGATTGCCCCTACAGCATGGGTCCTCAAACTAAGGCCCGTGGGCCGGATCCAGCCCGCCATGCCCACTTAACCGGCCTGCCCCAGAGGTTTTGCATTCACCGTGTGTGTGCATGGCTTGCTCATGAGGAGGTCATTTTGGACTCACTCTGAGAAAACTATCTCCTCGCGAGCAAGCCAGCTCCTTACTCGTGCCCAGCGGTGGCTTGCTCGTGAGGAGGTTGCCCTGTGCACCCCCCATCCCTGCCTCACATGCGCTCACGCGCTCCTCACCCCCTCACTGGCCCCTCCACTGGCACTGCCTTCGAAGCCCGCGCCCATCGCTGGCACCTGTCAACTGGCCTCCTGTTGAAAAAGTTGGAGGACCCCTGCTCTACAGCTTCTCCTACTCTGCAGAGAATGCTCATAAACCTTGGAGTCTGGATGCTTAGAAGCATCCAATAGTGCAACCCACTGCACTGTATTCTAAGATTATTACTTTTGCTCAGAACACACACAGCTTATGAAAGAAAGAATTTACTATTTGTTGGATGATGGAATAAGGTCATGCAATTGAAGACAACCAAAAATCTTACAGGGAACAGAAGAACATTTCTGTGTCTTTCTTAGATAATTGTAGTAGAGAGTCTTGTTAGCCTTTTAAAGAAAATCAATAGATTTAAAGAAAGAAAAATATTACAGTCCAATACCCAACAAAATGTAATAATTTAAAATCTTAAACAGATTAAATCAATCTCCTGCTTGCTTAATTTCAGTTAACCTTACCAGTTATCACTTGTCTAGCAGCATGAAGCACCGTAACTTTATGTTACCCCTCCAAGAGCTGTAATTTGCCTAAATTAATCCTATGACAGCAATGTAGTGAGATAAGTGGGTGCATCTGCTATAAGGCAATAGCAACAATCCATTTGTTTATTTCTAAACTCCCCAGTAGCTGAAGTTCTCTGGGCAATGTACAGCAGCATATACACTAAAATAGAAATAAAAATATTTGAAATACAAAATTTAAAACTATATATAAAAAGCTATAATAGGTAACACAAATTAAACCACAAGAGTTCTTAGACAGATGACAAAATGCCTCAACATACAGTCTTAATCTGTCACCAAAAAGGTAGCATTGGTAACAGAAAGGTCTGAGTGGGAGCTCATTCTATAACCGTGTGGTGGGGAATGCAGTGATAAGGCACTCTTTATTGCCACCAAGGCTCCCTTGGAGGTGGCAGTCAGAGGCAGGCCTATTGTAGTGTTTGGCTAGATTAGGACAGGTGTTTCATCATCTACTGTGGTCCAAACCCATGTAGGGCTTTCTAGGGTAGAACCAACAACCTGAAGGGGTCTCAGAAGCGTAAAGGTAACCAATGCAAGCAGGCTAGAATTGGTGTTGTATGTTTGGGCCTTCTCATCCTGATTATTAGTCTGGCTACCACATTTTGCACAAGCTGCATCTTTGGAATAATCTTCAAGGGCAGAACTACACAGAGCTCATTGCAGTAATTGTTTAGAGATTACCAAAGTATGTATTACTAGATTCAGACTATCCCTGTCCAGGTGTAGCTGGGCCACTAGCCAAAGCTGGTAGAAGTCACTCTAAGCCACTGAGGCCACCTGAGCCTCAAGTGCCCAGATAAATAATACTTCCTCCAAACACCACCTTCTGGGGTTGGCCATCCATGTAGGATGCAGAGCTCCCACTCCCAATTCAGCCAGCTGCCCCATCACCTACTCTACAGGTCTGTTGTAGGAATTATTATAACTTATGTGAAGTGCCCCTTAAAGAGCCATATTTATCAATATATTACATTTCTATCCTGGTCTTCCTCAAAGTGCTAAGAAAGAAAAATTTTCCCAATTTTTATCTGCACAAGCTTGTGAGATAAGAGAGGCTAAGAAATGGTATATGGCCCCAAATCAATGTTACATAAGCTTAAATGAATGTTTTGATTTAATGTTGAGTGGAGTTTGCAGAAAATCTGTTAAAAGGATAGATGCAGAAAGAAGTCAGGGATGAGTTGAGCTGGGGTCCAGAATTAGTCAAGTTAGCTAATGAGTAGAATCAGACAGGTTGTAAATAAGAGGAAAAGTTACTGAAAACAGATGTAGTGTTGGGTTTTTTCTGAGACATTACTGATCAATTATGGATTGTTCTGGTTATTTAACTGCTAAATAAATTACACATCATATATTCATTTCTTTAAATACCTATGATCAGTTATGGGTGGATTTGAAGACTAGCATTTTTCTTACTCCCACATACTAAGGAGAGAAAAAGCAAATCTTTGTGTTCTTAAGATGACACTAAGTGGTAGCAGCAGGTGTTCTGGGGAGTCCTGGGAGACTCAGTGAACTCTGGAGTCAAGGGGGACCTCTAAATACATCAGTCATCCTGTGAGCTTTATGGCAGAGAATGGAATCTGACAGCAAGTAGTCCCAATCCTGATTGCATATAACATTATACAGGCTCGAGATAAATGTAAAAAAACCACCACAATCTAGCCTAGAATCTTAACATCTGAATCTTAACCTGTTGGAAAAGGTAGGATGATATATAGCAGTGGTGGCGAACCCATGGCATGCATGCCACAGTGGGCATGCAGAGCCCTCTGTCAGAACGTGAGCCAAGTCGCCCCAGCATCACCCCAGCAGCCGAGCATCGGATAACAGCAGACATAGGGCCATGGGCATGCTTGGCAAGTAGTGGCCTGGCAATGACGGCCTGAACCATGACTCATTAGCCACAACTCATCTGAGCTTTCGCATGGCCAGTCGGTGCACTGTCAAGGGGATATATATATATATATATATATATATATATTTGATTGGACTGGCCGTGAGGTGTTTTTAATAAACAAAAACCTCAGTTTTCAGGTTTTATTGCAGTGTTGGCACTGAGCAATAAATAAGTGGGGTTTGGGTTGCAGTTTGGGCACTAGGTCTCTAAAAGATTCACCATCACTGATATAGAGCATTAAGACCCATTTTTACACTTTTCATTTAGCTCATATTGTTTTCACCCACCCCCGTTAATTACATTGTATACTGGATTATAAGACACCTTGGCCATCTCGAAAACAGAAACACCTGACAGCTTCATGAGGCTGATAATTTTACTTAAAGAGAAGGGGTGTGTGCGCCAAATTCCTTTTACCAAAGCAACTGAAATCGACAGGCAACGCAGTCCTGTGCGTGTTTAGTCGGAAAAAAGTCCTACAATCCCCAGTGTTCTCCAGTCAGGATTGCGCCCTTGCGCACACATTGTACTTTGGAGGCTCTGGTCTTTCCCCTTTGACTGAAAAAATGCTATCTGGCATCCTGAGCCGAAATGCGTGGGTGGCACGAGTAGCTGCGGAGTTCGCAGCGTCCTCCCCCCGCCACCGGCGGTGGGAAGCGAACTCCTCCTCAGGTCCTTTCCAGCAAGGCGCGAGCCACGAGCGCTGCCCCTCCCCGTGCTCGTTCCAACCGTCTTCCGACTCTGTAGCTCGCGCGAGATTCCTGGCGCGCGCGCTTGCTCGCAGACACGCAGAAGCACGCCACCCCCGCGTTCCTTCTTCGGCGGCACGAGACATGCCAGCCAAAACTTCCGGGTTCATGCCGCGCTCACTCCAAACCACGGTTGGTTCTACTTATGCGTTCATGCGCATGCGCCGATCCACCACAGCAACTGATCGCGGCGATTTGGGCGGCGCATGCGCTAATACCTCGGCCAATCGCTTGCCTTTTACTTCTCTCCTTGTTTAATATGTTTAACTGGTATATTCTCGTGTTGGTCGCCTCTATGAACCGTTTTCAGACTCAAAACAGTTTCTCCGGTCCGCCTCACCTCTAACTACGCATGCGCATCCTTCACAAACAAGCTTCCGTGCACACAGGAGGCGATGAGACTCCCAAGAGAGGGACGTCCCAGCTTCACCCCTGGAACCTGTTTTCTCGGACGGCGCAAAGGGCGATTCTAGTGACTTCCCGTATCACGTGATAGGCTTGCTGCTGCCAACTCTCTAAAAGCTCTGGGCTCCGGCTTTCATAATAGCGCCTGCTAGAGTAGCCCCTAAATAAGGAGTTCTAATAGTTAATGTTCAAATTGTTTCCCTTTGGAAGTTCTGTGTGCTGTGCTTACACATTTTTTTGTGGCCGGAAGATTTGGGCGGTTGAACGCGTGACCGAGAGGTGAGGCCCTTTCAGTTCAGGCGCCTTCAGGGGCAACCCTGTTTTGGGTCCTTGTTCGGTGGGTCCTAGCGTGACCTCTGCAGGCTTAGGAGGCGTGAGCCGGGCAGGGAAAACCGGTGCTGGCTGGGGAGCAGAATTCTGATCGCAGCTCGCGCGTGGAGGATTTATGAACTGGGGGTGGGGAGAGCACGCGAGGCGGCGGCGGCCGTTGCTGCAGCATGGTGAGTCAGAAGAAAAGAGTCGTGGGAAAGGAGGCAGCACAGAAAGACTCGGGCTTTGCCTGGAGCTGGTTGATTTCCAGGTCTTTCACAGAGCCGAGAAGAATTTTGTCTCTGAGGGCCAGGGAAATAATGTGTATATTTGAGAGCAGCTGTTACTAACCTGGCGTTCTCCAGATGTGGACTACAATTTCCAGACTCTTTCAGAAAGCTAGAATGGTTGGAGCTTGTGCCATGGTGGACTGGGGAATGCTGGGACTTAGGCCAACGTATTTGGAGAGGCTGGGGATGACTGTTCTACAGCTTCTCTCTGTTCCAGCTGTTAAACTGTTGCGATTCTGGTTCTGCCTGTGAATTTTCCCTGTTTTTAGAAACATGTTCAAGCTGGAGGAAAGTTGCTCTCTGATTTCTTACGTTGTCCCTTTTCTTGTGTGGGTGGTATAGGTGGGGTAGGTGAGACAGAAACTTACTAAAGCCTCACCCTGCCCACAATGCAAGGTATACTTATAACCAATATTTCTTGTTTAAAATAAACAAGAAATGTTGTGACACCTTAAGGCAAGGATGGGTCATCAGAAGTTGTTTGACTATAACTCCCATCATCTTAATATTGGCCATACAAGCTAGAGCTGATGGGAATTGTAGTCTGAAGGCTCACACTTTCATTGCCCATGCCTTGAAGACCAACTAAATTTAGTATGATATGGGCTTGGAGAGATTGGAGAGCCTACCTGATCAAATGCTTTTTGTTTATGAAGTCTTGTACTTCATTTAAAAACCAGGAAGTATAGATTAAGTCCTATAATGAATTGCATTGCATATGGATACTCAAAGATACATTGAAACCAAGGGTTGTGTTTAATCCAGAAAGGGCCAGTTTTCTTTCTGTGTTCACAGTCCTGATCACTAGATTTGTTTTTCTGCAAAGAGTTGATTAAGCTGTTTCTCTAATCAATATGTAATGAACTTCAAACTGGGCAAAGTTAGAGGGACATACAAACCTACTTATACACAGCAGCCTTAGTTCCAACTGCCAGTAGATCTGGAAAGCTGAATGGAAGTGTGCTCTGGATGCTCTCATTCCATAGAAAGCCAAGAGTCCTGACAGCCTGCTTCCTCTGCCTCCCAGGAAGAATATCATGTCAAGCAGAAAGCTCATCTTGGCCCCCTTCATCAGCCAGGGAAGTAGTTGCAGGGAGTTGCTTCCCTTCTCCCTGAGAGAAACAGCACTGCTACTTTCCAGGAATTACAGAGTTCTTATAATGAAGAACTAGTGCCTAAATTTGCCCTTTTTTGCTGCTGCTGCTAGTTGCTTACTTTCTCCTAATAGGTTTTTTTCTTTTTTTGTACTTATTTTAGACTGTAAGCCTTAGAACATCAACTGTCTTGTTGATTATTGTAAGCTGCTTTAAGGAGCCCTTTTATGGGTGAAAAGTGGGGCAAAATACTACAAAAGCTATAATTTTATTTGAGTAATTATTTTAATTGTTCTGTGGTAGCATAGTTTGTTTGGCTCAGTGTTTTTTCTTGTACTAAATTTCATTACTGCAAGGCTGGAAACTTGCTTCTTTTTGCTTTATATAGGAGCATAGGAATACATCTATGACTTTAACTTAATCTATAACACTAGTTGGGAATGATTGTAGAAGGCGCATTGTTGGTATTAAACCTTCCAGACTTCAGCAACCTTACTAATGCAGATTGTCTGGTCACCCTGTGCCCATTTCTCAGAATTTTTTTGCAGTATACATTTTTTCCGTGCCCCACAAATCCCTCACTGAGCATTCTTAAGAGAAAGGAATCCTTATCTCATGTATGTGCTTGGAGCCTATCAATCCTAAAGAGAACTTGACATGCTCTGAATTATGCTATCATGCATACAGTGGTCATGGTTCCCTGTCAAACTCTGTTGTCTCACCAGTGTGTTGTCTGATAGCTCTGTCAAAGCCCATTAACCATTATAGCTGAATGAAACCTGGCTATGCAGATACAGTATACCACTGAATGTTAGATGCTTCAACAATCAGGAGTGAATGGCTTATCAACCATTTTCAGGCCCTACTTCTGATCTTCTAGAAGTACCTGCTTAGCTGCAGGTAAAGCTAAGAAGTACCTGCTTAGATGTTAGGGTAAAGAGTGGCAGACTCTTAGTTCTGATACCACCAAACAATCCTTATTTATTTAAATAATTTATACACCAGTTTTCATCAGCTGGTTTGAGCTTGCTTTCTAGCATTAAAAAGATGGATCAAATTCATTCTGTAGCAGAATGTACATTATTGCCATATTTGACTTCTCCCACCCACTTCTCATCGTGCATATATAAATGTGTATTGGAGGGTTGAGAGTTTCTTGAGTTAGGGTCCTGGGCAGAGAAGAGGAAAGAAAAGTCCTGTTTCACAAGTGGAGGTCTGCCCATACAGCATTGGATGTTACCTGATAAATCACACATAACATATCAAACAAAAATGCACAGCAGTATACATACATGCTTAAAAACACTTTATTGGCTTAGGCAATAGAAAACTTTTTGTCATTTTAAAAGTGAAATAGCTTAGAGCTAGCTTGTACTCTCATACTGTGGTACTAGTCAACAGTGTTCAGTACTGGTAAATTTGTGTTGAAATGTTGTGAATTAGATTTCTATTCTTAAAAAACAAAGCCCTGTTCTAACCTGGCTTTCCTAATGGCTGACATTACTACAAATGACTGTTTATTGAAACAGTTGTATGACTACTGGGTATATATCCAGTGATATATATATATATATATATGTGTGTGTATATATATATATATCTTGCAGAAGGGAAGATGTATGCTTGGCCCCTTCTGTATATAGGGATATTTTGATACTATTTTAATAGCATGAGAGGCACTGTTGTATGTTGTGAGCAGAGCCGGCTAGAACCGGGGTCAGACTAGATGGCCCGGGAGACCCCTTCTGACTCTCTCTGTTTCTGTGTTTGTCACCTTTTGCTGGTAAGTGCCTGGTTTTGCACAGGTCCTTCAATGCTAGCATTGACCTCCAGGGGAACTGGGATGGTGCTGGAATGACAAGGAAGCATCTTTTAAATTTGTCCCATGTTATTTGGGGTATCTGAAGTTACTGCAGACTCACAGAGACTTCCATGCTGCTGAGAATAATGGAAGGGCCTTCACATTCTTAGCACATGCTATTTTTAGGGGCAAAGCATCTTAATGTAGGCATGATAAATGTTGCATGAACAACAGGAGTTACTGTACTTGAAGTAAGAACCTCTTAGCCAGTGATATTTGAGAAACTAGGTCACTAAGCAGCAGTCTTCTGAACTACTTATTTTCTTCCATTGGTTTAGAATATATTGTGAGTAACAGCTTTGTACAACTAGAGTCTAGTGAATCTTGTCAGGATCTGTTTAGTCTTTAGTATCAGTCTGAGCTCTAGATACGCCACATCTCAGTAGAAAAAAGAAACAGATCTCAGATTTCAAGATCAACATTGCCATTGGTTACTCCTCATATTACAAACCAATCAATTTATATCTCCATATCATGAATTCAGGATTTATTTTCTTTCTTTTCTTTTGAGATTTGTCACTACTATTCATTGTGTGAAGTTGGGGACAATGTTAGGAAAAGAAGCAAAGCTTAATATCAGATACCGTATGCATGCTAGTCCCCGTAAAACACACGCCCCCCCCCACATATACTCCCGTAGATATGTGCACATCTCTACATGAAGACATTCTATTATCTACTTGCGTAATTTATTTTATGTGATATATGAGATCTCTTTGAAAAAAGAAGAGAGCCGATGTGATGTGGTGGTTAAGAGTGTGCAACTGGTCCTCAGGCAATCCAGTTTCTGGGATGGCAGAAAGAGAAAGCAGAGCTGGCCTACTTTTGGTTTCAGTTCTACCTACCATTGGCACGTATCCATACCCCTAGATCAGTGGTCTCCAACCCTTTTGGCACCAGGAACTGGCTTCATGGAAGATAATTTTTCCATGGGCTGGGGGTGGGGAAATTTTCAGGATGATTCAAGCGCATTACATTTATTGTGCACTTTCTTTCTATTACATTGTAATATAATGAAATAACTGTACAACTCACCATAATGCAAAACCAGTGGGATCCCTGAGCTTGTTTTCCTGCAACTAGATGCAGCTTAATTGTCACTTGTCACTCACTGATAGGGTTTTGATATGAGTCTGCAAGCAATTGATTTATTATGGTCTCTGTGTAGCCAAACCTCTCTGCTAATGATAATCTGTATTTGCAGCCACTCCCCAGCGCTAGCATCACCGCCTGAGCTCCACCTCAGATCATCAGCATTAGATTCTCATAAGGAGCACACAACCTAGATCCCTCACATGCAGTTTACAGTAGGGTTCATACTCCTGTGAGAATCTAATGCTGGCCTGGGGGTTGAGGACCCCTGCCCTAGATTACCCACTTCCCTAGGATATTGCCCTTGATAAGGGAGAAGAGTTCCCTGCCCCTGTCCTTGCACGATGGGTGCAGAAGGATTATGGGGACCAGCACCAAGGTCTTGAATTCAAGAAAAGCAAAGTCTCCCTGAGCAGTTTGTGTGTATAGTGAAGTTAATCTCTCATTATAAAAGCTTCCAGTGCTGCAGTGCATTTTATGCCCAAATTGGTACAAGAGGGTGACTTCTTTTTAGAAGTCATATAAGACACAGTACTGTGGTGCTGTGTATTAAGCCCTGTCTCTCAGTTGCTTACATACCTGTATGAACTCAAAGCTTGTTTTCCTTGGTTTAAGTCTTTGATATTTAACCTGTTTTATCAACTACCCTGTGCTACCTAGGAACAGTACCTAGTACGAAGTGGTCCCAGACTAGCTCACCTCTAGATATTATTGCAGTGCAGCCTCTAAATTCTGCTCAGAGCAAGTGTAGCTCCATAAGTCAATATTATGCATAATTGTTTCCAGTCCTTGAGTAGGTGAAATAGGTTATTTCCTAGGAGCCCTTTTGCAGACTGACTGAATTATGGTCTATG